AATATATACATGGTAACCCATTAGACATGGTTACCCTAAGGGCATCCCATATTTGGCATAACACTTGATTATTCTTGCTGTCTTAATGCCAATTAAATGGCTAAAACATGTATATTAAATAGATCTGATTTTATCAATTCCTATTTTTCCAGCTTTTGCTCTGGATGATACAGTCTACAGAAAGACAGCTGCTATGCAGTTTTCAAAAATGGTACAGGACAAATGCTGTGGGGCTCGAAGAGCAGTAACTAAAAGCAAACCAGCTGAGTGAGACTTGACAATTAACAATTATTGACTTTTAGATACTCATTATTTATTTCTAGCCATAAATAATATAATTATATAATATTAGGAAATTTTAAATAAGTAATAGTACCGTAAGTATAAGTAAGTATAAGTTATAGTACCGTATGTGTAATTACTCTGGGGCCGGTTGTTCAAAGCTGGACTAGTGACAACCCTGAGTTAAAATTTAACTTGCTGTTTTAGTTTGTGTGTTTCTACATACGTGTTTATTTCAAAATGTCAGAGAAGAAAACTCCTATCGGTCCAGGCAAGGTCTCTGAATAAATATTTCCAAATTTATAGACAAGCTGTCAGGAAGTGTGCTTTGAATTAACCTATAGGGTGAAGGTGTGGGTAAAATGCTGACTCCCACTGGCGGACTCGATTTTTTTCAATTTTTTATCAATGCTTTTTGTTGGCTTCGTGAAAATTTTAAAATGAGCATCAGGCGTGCTTTATACAAAATATGTACTGTAAATGAGCGACGCGCTTTTAGAACTATTGAACATTTGGAAGAATTTATTTAAAAATACTATAATCAACATTCCAATAACGAACTATCTATGAACAATTCCCGACAGAAAAATATGTATTAATTATTATTGGTACAGAATGTAGTAAATTTACAAAATATACAGTATATGATATATAAGCACGAAAGCTGCCTATACGATATTTCCCAAGAAAATGTTTTTGTATTGAAGTGCCTTGTGTATTAAAAGTGACGTTTTGCCCTGACTTTTCAAAAACAAAATGAGCTATAAATGCAGTAAATATTTTCAATTAATATGATGTAGGTACCAGGAAATAGTCTGCACCGTAGACAAGACGTACTGATCTTTATATTTAACGCAAACTATAGCTTTTGTGGTGTTCTATACGTGAGTGCATACAGTAAAATTTAACTAACTATATAAATAAACCAAATTCCGTCAAATGCATAACGTGTTCGGGCGTCAGCATATGTTTTATTGCCTGTGGCGTTTGCACAAGTGACGCAACAAAATAAGCTTGCTGTCGTGCAGTGATATTTGATTCTGTTAACAGAGACATAATTTTATCAAAATATAACTTGACAATACTTGGAATATTTCGCCAAACACGCATGCAATTTTTCATTAATTCTTCGAAAACCGTGTAGTTTCCTATACTAATTTATTACCTATACTAGAGATCGCAATTTTGCCGAAAAATTGAATGGAGCTAGCAAATATGTGCCAACTGAACCGACTCCGGAATATTGGACTCTTTTAGCTTTGCCTTACAATCATCTCGGAAATGTCCAAAACATTTCAAGTGAATTGCATATGCTTCAACCAATGCCTCTTCTGCATCAGTTCCAAAAGCCAGAACGTTTTTCAGGTTTTTATTGAGAGCAACTAGCTTCCCAAAAAATAATTATACGTTTCTGACGTCTTTGTTTGGCTTACAAGTAGGGGTCCTATCATTAAAGGATGATGCCCTTCCCTTCGTGTAATAAGTTTTAAATGTCGATATGTCGTTAATGTTACGTTACTGTCGCTTTAAACACCCGGTATTTACATGGTAATAAACATTGCCTGGTCGTTCCTTAATTAAGTGTTCCTGTATTATCATAATATGTTCGATTGGCGTTTGAAACGATAACGAGATCACAAGGGGCTCGTCCGATTTCTCCTCCTGGTTTAAGAGCTTGGCCACATCCAAAACACGTTTTGACTTGCGGGGGACAGAATTTAAGAAAATATAGCATGTATGCGCCATATAGTGGATTCGGATAACCAGGAGAGTGTGCTGATAAGCCAGGATGGTTAACGTGCGGTGATATTTGATTCTGTTGTTGTCGTTGTCGTTGTTGTCGTTGGCGATACAACCATTGTTGCTGTTGGACTCGTAATGTTGTTCCTGTTGTTGTTGTTGTTGTTGTTGTTGTTGTTGTTGCTGCTGCTGTTGTTGTTGTTGTTGTTGTTGTTGTTGTTGTTGTTGTTGTTGTTGTTGTTGTTGTTGTTGTTGTTGTTGTTGTTGTTGTTGTTGTTGTTGTTGTTGTTGTTGTTGTTGTTGTTGTTGTTGTTGTTGTTGTTGTTGCTGCTGCTGCTGCTGTTGTTGTTGTTGTTGTTGTTGTTGTTGTTGTTGTTGTTGTTGTTGTTGTTGTTGTTGTTGTTGTTGTTGTTGTTGTTGTTGTTGTTGTTGTAGCTGCTGTTGTTGTTGTTTTTGTTGTAAAGTATTCAAAACTCTGTCCACAATCACACGGGGTTCTTTGGCATTTCCTCCACTTCTTCCACCTATTCGACGACTCGTTGATGTTTTGTTTTTCTTTCTTCCAACTCCTTTGGACGAATCGTAAGTGACTAAGGTAGTTAAGTTAAGGGGAGTACTTCACCTTCGAATCCAATCCAGATACTTGCCCAGTTGCTGCGTTTTTTCTCCCACAGCCACCGCATGTTTACACAAATTTGCAGAAGCCCATCCTGGACAATTTTCACACGTAATTTTTCCTGTTTTTTTCTGCAAACACGTAGTGGGGACGTTTTGATGTTTTACTTTCCACCATGAAAGCCATTTTATTATTTCCAGGTGCTAAAACTATGGCGTTCTCTTTGGATAACAACGCCTCCGCACTTTGGAAAACGTGTCTTACCGATTCAACGGGTAAACTCGTCAAATTTGCTTCCTCTGGTTTCACTGATAAGTGACGTATTTGTGCCTGTGTTTCTTGCGCTTCTTCCACGTTTTCGGACAATTCTAAGAGTCGAACCTTCTTTCATGTGCTTGACATTGAGTGGTGGACATGGAGAAGCATTTTCAGCATTTAATTGTAAATGCACAGATTCTTCCACCAACTTATATGGGCCTGAGTTTAATAGTGCCCCTCTTACGTCCTCCTTTTAGCGTTTAATAAGCTGTGCCATTTTTACCGTAAAGCTAGACATTTCGCTTTCTTTAAAATCCACGGAACGCTTAATAACAGCATTGGCGGACTCGGGAACATTGGTATAAAGAAGCGATGGTGGGTTACCCAAGCCAGCATTTTGACGCACGTCCGATAGCATGCTCTCAACAATCATATGTGCCTGTAAAAACAATTATCAGAACTTATCAGTTGTTTTTTCAACTTTCTGTTGAATTAGCGAAGAATGATTTTTGGAATAATAATATAAATTAATATAATAAATGGATTTTTAATTGACATTTATTTCCTGACATTTATTTGGTTAGTTCTAAGATAGGGATGTTCCCTCTCATTCCATTCCCGTTCCAGAGCTTTCAATTTTTCGTAAAATTCCAGTTCATCCTTAGAGTCCAACAATCCTTTAATAGCAAAAATATTATATGATAAATCTTTCTAGCATTTTCTTGCATTAATTCCGCATGAAGTTGACATAAATAGATGTTCAAGAGATTTCTTGTTACAAATGTGCAAATTTTAAACGACGCGAAATTTAAGTGAATTATATAGTTTTGCCGAGACATAATTTTATCAAAATATAACTTGTCAATACTTGGAATATTTCGCCAAACACGCATGCAATTTTTCATTAATTCTTCGAAAACCGTGTAATTTCCTATACTAATTTATTACCTATACTAGAGATCGCAATTTTACCGAAAAATTGAATTGAGCTAGCAAATATGTGCCAACTGAACCGACTCCGGAATATTCGACTCTTTTAGCTTTGCCTTACAATTATCTCGGAAATGTCCAAAACATTTCAAGTGAATTGCATAGTTCATGTAATTTTTCATTGCTTCAACCAATGCCTCCTCTGCATCAGTTCCAAAAGCCAGAACGAGTTTTCAGGTTTTTATTGAGAGCAACTAGCTTCCCAAAAAATAATTATACGTTTCTGACGTCTTTGTTTGGCTTACAAGTAGGGGTACTATCATTAAAGGACGATGCCCTTCCCTTCGTGTAATAAGTTTTAAATGTCGATATGTCGTTAATGTTACGTTGAATTTTCCTATGTTAAACGTAGGATCTGCTGAAAAAATGGAAAACTTCTCTGCATTGGTACAGAGTTCTTCAATTTCTTTCAATTGCAAATCGAATGCAAAAACACAGCGAAGTTCTGGTGCACCTGTCACATCTCGAATAAATGGATCTTGGCCAAGACTCAGTTGCTGTCTCTTGCACTCTTGCAGTAGAATAGCCAGAGAATCCACGTTTATTGATGACCTTTTAGAATGCGTGGTTTTTGACCTGCAATTTTTAGCCTGTTCACGGTTTCGAAGAAGATCACTCGCTGAGTTAGCCCGTAAATATCCTTCATTCTCTTCACTAACTTGGTGCAAAGTGCCCTTAGGCCCAGTACGTTGAGCCACTTCTTTGACCCGTTCCACAACACTTGGTTTCGTTCTTACATAACCCGATGACTGCTGCTGACGAGAATTGCCATGTGGTTCAGGTGTAACCTCGTGTTCATTTCCGACAAAATAATACTGTATAATCATTTTGCTTTTTTGTCCTCTGTAAAGAGATACATGATACGCACAATGTAAAGAGGACGCTACATTAAAAAGACGTTATTTAAAATAATCAATATCCGATTATGTACATGTAAAAAAAATAACCACGACTAGTTAAAAGCTAAAACATTTTCTGGCTTGTTTTCTCATAGCTCTGAAGTGCATGCATATAGATCTGTAGATCTCTGGCTGTTTTAAATTGATTAAAAAATATAACGTTTTAACAACCCGTATAATATTGACACTAACAATACTATTTACTTCAAGGGGATTGTTATATGGGAACGCCAAAAAGTGAACATGCACGACTATCAGTTTAACTTTTACATAGCCAAAAAACAAGCACACCTTCCAGATATTATGCACATTTCTTCAAGTCGCTGCAAGTTTTGTTCTTGTAGTACACACGTACAAGGGTATAGGTAGTGCCACGTTTGAAACTGGTTTCTGAGTCCTGCTTTGATAGCTTTAACCTGGCATTTACGATGCTTAAACGTATTCTGTTTCCGTCCATTGTTTCTCCATGCCCTCATGTCGTCACATTTCCAGTCATCCCATGAATTTAAGGCGGTGATATCTAACGGAAACGTTACGTTATGTGTCCAATATTCGTTGGTGCGACTTTACAAAGCCGGGAATAGGGTCTCAGGAGAGTTTTAACTTTTTCTTCTGGAAGTTCAGTTTCTGTACCAGTCTTGAAGATTGGTAGACAAAGGATATTTTCATAGTATCCTTCAAATGACCTAAAAAAATTTACAGAAAAATTAAACCATGTTCTGGGCGTAATCCTGGGGTAAGGGTAGGGCTATACTAAATCTCGTTCATTACACCGTGGTAAAAATGAACATGAAGTATCTGGCTATTTAACATCACGTTGTGGCTTTTGCTCTTGTACGAGTACAAGTTCGGTACCCTAGCTCGTGATTTGTACCAAATTTAATGTATGATTTCATGTTACCGTGGAAACCATGCTGACAATTTTAAAAATAAATACTCTTCTCATGTTCCAACAACGTTACGTATTGGAATTACTATACTTTGCTTTGACCAGGCGAGGCCTTTGTATGCATCTATTTCTAGCTAGCAACAAAATAAATCTTCGGCAGGCTCCTGAGGGTAATTTAGTAATATTTTGAAAATTCTAAGACGTACTCAACATCGCTCTTACTTGACCAAGACACCGAAGAATTGCTATCTTTACATTGATTGTTGTGGACAACCTATGAATTATCAATATCTTTCATTAGATACTACAATAGGAATAATATAACGATTATGAGAAAGACAAGTTAATAAAATTTTGAAAAAATACACAGACTAATATTTAACTGCAGACAATAAAAGTACACATTGCCTTATAGGCTTGTATCATATACATGCATGTACGTACCTGTGATAGATCAGGACTTGATAAACTGTCATTGCTGTTGCTTGTTACACTGCTATCACTTTCATCATTCTAAATCGTAGCAATAACAAAGTCCAATGTCCGTTATTTAAAAAGTTACTTAAATTAACGATTTTGTTACGGGAATAGAGCTGGTCAACCGCTGTAATTACAATTTATTACAAAATAATAATGTTACGAATACTCGGGAATCTCGTCAGTCCTAGATTGATACTATTGCCCGCACAACTGAACAGTTAACTTTTAAAATTTATTTTTAGTGCATGATATCTAAAATTCAAATTCATTGTTCAGTACAGAGGGTTGGTATCAACTAAGAAAACTTTACCGTGATTCGTTTTCCACTTGATCATTTTTTCATTGAACGCCGATTAACGAAAGGAGATAAATGTGCCCAATTCCTGTTTAGTTCAAACACGAATAAGCAAAAATTATTATATCTACTTTCTAGGCTATCGTCTATTAATTTAAACATTACCTTTTCTTTGGCGATGTGTCATCTTCCGAACTTATTAAAATGGACGTATAACCTTAGACTAACCAATCTCTTCCGCGTCCTGATTTAAAAGGATGACCTCAGGGGCGGATCCAGGGGGTGGCAAGCGTGGCGTGAGCCACGGTCAGATTTTTGAAATCGTCATATTCTCTAACTTGGTCTATATATTCTATATAAGGACGAAGCGATCGTTATTACACTGGCTGCATAATTTGCCCTCGCTGGAATGCAAGGAATTTTTTCGGTTTTTTTTTGTTGTCGCAAGTGTGACTTTCCATTGCGGCATCGTGGGCTCAGGTTGCGCAATTTAGCCACTGAGCTATAATATTACTGTAATATAGCTCAGTGAATCTAGCTAAAACATGCTCACAATGATTTAACCAATTCCTATATTTTGAGAAGAAAGCGACACCGTTCGATTCAGCGTATAAAGAAATTGTACTTACGGATGTCAAGTGTATTAATGAACACCAGTATTCTAGCGATTTATGGCCTTTGAAAATCAAGCGAAATTGTATTGACAAATCGCTCGCAGTATGTATTGTTATTTATAACAAATCACTCGCACTACGTTTGTCTTTGTATTTGTATTTGTAATGCCTAATGGCGCAATAAGGATAAAAATACCACCGTTTGATTCAGCATGAGTAATTGTACTTACAGTACGGATGTCAAGTGTATTACTATTTATATACTACAGTCGAACCCCTATAAGCGGACACCTCTCTTAAGCGCACACCTCTTTTAAGCGGACACCTCTTTTAAGCGGACACATATCTCAGGTCCCATTTGGTTTCTTTAATAAAAAACTATTATCATAACCCCTATTAAGCGGACACCCCTCTTTAACGGACGCGGACACCTTTCTGGAGGTCCCAATGGGCAAATCAACCTCTCTTAAGCGGACAGATGACAGATTGTCTGATAAAATGTATTCAATATTCGACAGTAAATAACAATTGAGATCAATTTACATGGCACATTGACAGTGACACACCAACTTGGCGCGAAGACATCAGAGCCAAGATTATTGAGGAAGTGACGAATGAGGACGGAGGACTGTGAGCCGCCAGCAATGATGATACTCAAATTACACACCTAATTACACACCTTTGCCTCCTGCTGTGTTTTTCTACATACCCCTTTTAAGCGGACACCCCTTTTAGGCGGACACTTAGGCGAGGTCCCGAAGGTGTCCGCTTAATAGGGGTTCGACTGTATTGAAACTTAATACAACGAAATATAGCATTCTACGTCGATAATTTCAAACATAGTTTAATAATTATTTTCAATCTATAGTAATTCACCGTTTCCAGGTTTTTTTTATACCTTTAATAAAGCTACAATAAAGCTAAATTTGGTAATTTTACTCATTATTGGAAAGACCTTGCACATGCACTAATTGGTTAATTTAACATAGATTTCTTTAGCTATGTTGTAAAAAAAGTGAAGTAACATTATGCAAATTAGGTAAATGCATGAATTAAGCATGCGTAAAGGCATTGGTGCCAAAAGTTATAGTTTCAGCGCCTATTTGAAGGACATAGAATTCAGCAATTCTTCTGATATTTGGACCATTAATAAAACTCATAACAAATTTCTCGTCCATCAACTCAAAATGCGTTTTAACCTTTTAAATTTCATGTGCAAGCTATTTTAATGCTGCTAAAAAAAGACACCCCCCTGCTTTGGAAAATTTATCTTTACGAAAATTTCTTGTTTATTCTACATTATAAGTACCCAAACAATCTATGTTTATCAAATATTTAATGACATGAACGGATTCGTGAAATTGAGAGCCGTTTCAAATTGTTTACTTTTCTGATTCACCTGTTGCGAATGGAGCGTTCACTTGCCTTAAAATTGCCTTTGCAAAGTGCTTGTCTGATACAGCCATGTCAGTTTTTGAAAATATGATCATACAGCAGCAGTAACTAACGAAGGAATGCATAACGCGCATAATTACGAATTCACGTCGACGATATTTACCTTAGCGACGGTAATTGGCTTACAATTCAATCGTACCATCCTACCCAAACTGTTGATATATTTAATATCACTTTTGGTGGCACCAAAAGCAAATGATGGCCATGCTTCACCGTCCATAGACCGAAATTTGAGGAGGAAATGGTGTTTCCGGGTTTCAAATTTCAAAAATTTTTCGGGGGAGCATGCCCCCGGACCCCGCTAGTTATGTGTGGTTTAGAAGCCACGGTCAGTTTTGGGTCTGGATCCGCCCCTGGATGTAGCGTAACTGTTAATAGCAACTTTATAACAAATGTACTTCATATTGCTTGCTCAACTAGAGCGCCATGGCTAAACAGCCTAAATCAGTTTGTCATTACCTGTTTTACCTTGACATCAGAACTGTTATACCATTAGTGAGGTCATATTTTACACCATTAATTAAAACACGCTCACTCCAGGACTAAATTCTTCTTCATCCCACCACTCAAATGTATCGCATCGTTTCTATAAATTAATATATATTTTGTATAAGAATATATAATATATAAACGGACTGAGAAAATACGAAAAGGATTTTCACTGTTTACGAAAATCTATTTGTGATGATGAATTTGCTAAGCAAAGTGTACATGCCAGTTGCTTGCGAAAAATGTGAACTACCCCTCAAAAAAACGCTTAAAACTTGAAGTGAACTCGTTTAAACTTGTCATAGGGGCTAAGGAGATTATCGAAACCCGATTTCGGGTTTCCTCTTGACATAAGCAACAGATATTATTGTAGGCACTTAAAAATAAAATATTTTGTGAGTTTTAAAGACGCAAAAAATATGGTTTGAAATGAAATGAAATGAAATTGAAATAAAAGCATACTATCACATACCCTTCCAGTCTGCTACAAATATAAACGTATTTTTATATATTTTTAAGCAAATACCTTCAAGGTTTGTATTTTATTATCAGTCGGCAAGTATATATGAAGTAATAGATAGGTAGATAAAGAACCGAAAAGGAGGGATTTCTGTCATATTAAAGACCCCGAGGACGCGCAGCGTTCGAGCGCTTTATATGCAGGGGCGTATATTAAAGGGTGTGTGGGGTGTGAAACCCTCCCAGCGTTATAAAATCGCAGAAAGTCAGTCCACATTTCATTCAAAATTGTGAAAAAAGTCGGTCCCATGAGCCGGTCTCGAGTTATGAGATGTCTTCTATTTTTCATTACTTTCTGTATTTTATTTGGACGGACAAATATGAATTATATTCTAGGAAATAAACTCGTCTTTTTCTGCTACTGTGTGATTTCGCGCCTGTGGCCTGCGAACGGATATTCTCATGACGACTCATGCTCATTACTGATAAACAATTAAGTCCTGGTAATCACACGTGAACGAGCTCATAGGCCTATACACATGAATGTTCTGATTTTTCAGTAAGTTCGGAAAAAGACTCATCGGATTCTATTGATTGATCTGGAACAAACTGAATGAATTTTCTTAATCCTTCGTTCGTACATCTGAACGAGCCTATGAAAAAGGTAGAGTTAAGACTCTGAAATGGCCGTTTCCGGCGTCATGTTCTTGCAGAATATGAAGTGCTGGTCCTCAAGTAGCACATCCCCCTTGTTTTTATATAACAGAAATCCTGACTTTTAAGATTTCCTATCTGACTTAGTTCATTTTTGAGGAGGATTTCCAACAAGAATCTATCGGCTATAAAGACTTTAAGTCAAGATTTTTCGAATTTTTTTACAGTTTCATCTGAATTATTCATTCAAGGCTGTTCAAGGTCACTATTGCAGTGAAATACCGCGGTACATAAAAATCCCGACTCAAACATGAACTAAAGGCAGTGAGAAACTTTATGTTATTGTTAATGTATAACTTTTACCTTACGTGTCGCTTTGTGTAGCGCGTCATACATTTGTAGGGCAACATAATGATTTCCAGTGTGGCCAAAATATAAGAAACCTGTTGACGACGCTCTAACTGGTTCAATTATTTTAGTGTAATTATCATCCTGTAATGAATGTTTAATTACGTTAATTCGCAAACGAAAAGGTAATAATAGACTAACAAACTCCATCGAGTTTTCATGTAATGATTATCGTAATGAAAAATACCTTACCCCATGAACAGTGACGATTAAAATATCCTTTTTCATTACTTCGGCCAAAGCATTTATAATAATAGAATTTGCGTATGCCCCTCGCAGAAGTTTCAGTGCGTCCAGCCACGAGGAAGGTATGGCTTGGCCAACATCAATTTCGCACAGGAATGATAATCGGTCGTTTCCTTCCAGCTAAAAACACAAAACCCAACATGGAACATTAAAATCGAGTAACTGGCTGTTGTACCTTTCTTTTAAACCATATTAACAGCCTATTACAGAAAGAAAAGCGTTCATTAATGCCAGAAGGGTGAACAGTGCCAAGTTTGGATATGAGACGCATTTCATGTCGTTTGCGGCTATCGTTGCTTCCAAGCCGCAACTTTTCTTATGTTTAATGCCATCATAGACAATCCAGAAGACATGTCTTCTGTTTTGTCTATGATGCCATCTGTCTTTGCCTGTCTATAGCAGACATTGACAACTTCTATTTATTATTTTTACTTTTACCTTATTCCCACTGGTGTTTTGTTTTGATTATTTTTTGTAGTAATTGTCTTAACTTCCTGTTTATTTTTATATTTTTAATTATATTATATTCTGTAATGCGATTTACATATTTTGTTTACACTTTGTTATTATTAAATCCATCTAATTGGTTTATTTTTTGTCACATGATGCTTTCATACTCTTAGTATAAAAGCCCGTGCATTTTCCCCGATCCCTGGGGAATGGCCTTCGCTCGAAACGTCGAGTTTCTGCTTATTTTTTAAGGAAGTAATATAACCACTCAGCAGAACATTTTCACATTGGTACTACCTACACTGGTACAGACAGTTTTAGCATAAAACCTGCCTCTCTGATTCTTTTCGTAAGCTCTTGATCCATTTTCGGTAATGTATTTCAATTTAAAAACACAACACGGACTTTCAAAGTAAAAAATAATATTTGGTATTATATGGAATGCTTGCCGCTGGCAATAGATTAACAGCCTCTCGCAAAATAGGCTTGAGTTGCACGCGCTGGATACCTATGGCATTGTGAAATTATAGCGTCATAATAAGGTCATATTACTGTTCATCATGTTTTTGACGAGTGTCCCTATATGTCGTGTGTCGTGGGTTAAAAGTCGTGTGTCGTGGGTAAAGTCGTGGGTAAAGTCGTGGGTCATAAAATGTGCTAAAAACGCATTTTTTCACGAAGATATTATTTTTATTTTTAATATTTTTTTCGTACTCTTTCCATTTATGCATTAGATAAATACAGGAAAATTTAACGCAACAAATCTCCAGTAATAAAATAATTTCTTATCTTGCTGTTATCTATAGTATAACAAGTAATTGTTTGATTTTGTTTCCGTTTCGCATAGTCTAATAAGCCTATAGAGTAAATGTATTGTTTGATGATAAAATGTCTTAAGTTATAGGATATAGGTTTATCAGTTAGCTTTGGAAGTGCATGTTATAGTCCCTATCATGAACGTCGCGAATAACTATGTCGATTGCATATATGTCTGATACAAACATATTGAGCTATAAATTTTACGCTGCAGTGCCTGTATAATTAGTGGCTAACGCTCGAGCCTCAAATGTTGCTATTTTATCTCCTAGTCCTAGACCTAGTTCGTGGCCCTTAAAGGTAGACCAACATTTCATGTGTATGTGGCGTTCGGAAATATTCCATAAATTGCTACGATTTGGGATTTCCCGATTGAAAACCGAAATGATTTGTGCGATGTCGGGCTAATTGCCAACCGAGCGCGCTAGCTGCTGTTATTTCGACAGAATATGACACCTCTATACACTTTTCAGCCGTAATTTTCACGCACGCATTGTAATCATATACATATCGTTTAATTTAGCTTCAAAAACTTGATAAAAAACATGTTATTCGTGTTGGTTCCCAACTTCCCGCGGAGCGCAATGGTGTCATAGTTACCAGAGGCAAAGCACATGCAAAGCCGCCTTGGTATAAATCATGTATGTAAAGGGAAATCCTGCTTATTTCAGTCTAATAAAGTCAACCTTTTTTCTTTGATATCAATGTACGCAACATGCTGCGCATTTTACATTTAATAAATTAAATAAGTTTTGAAGCTAAATTAAACGATATTTATATGATTACAATCCGCGCATTATGTATTATGGCTGAAAAGTGTAGAGGTATCATATTCTCTCAAAATAACAGTGGCTAGCGCGCTCGGTTGGCAAATAGCCCGACATGGCGACATCGCACAAATCATTTCGGTTTTCATTCGCGAAATCCCAAATCGTAGCAATTTATGGAATATTTCCGAACGCCACATACACATGAAATGTTTGTCTACTTTTAAGGGCCACGAACATATACTAGGTCTAGGAGATAATTGATAGCAAAATTTGAGGCTCGAGCGTTGGCCACGTAGAATTTATAGCTCAATATGTTTGCATCAGACATATGCAATCGACATAGTTATTCACGACGTTCATGATAGGGACTATAACACTTCCAAAGCTAATAAACCTATACCTAATATCCTATAACTTAGGACATTTTATCATCAAACAATACATTTATAGACTTATTATAAGACTATACGAAACGGAAACATTTACTTGTTATACTATAGATAACAGCAAGATAAGAAATTGTTTTATTACTGGAGATTCGTTGCGTTAAATTTTCCTGTATTTATCTAGCGCATAAAAGCAAAAAGTACGAAAAAAATATTAAAAATAAAAATATGAAAAAATGCGTTTTTAGCACATTTTATGACCCACGACTTTACCCACGACTTTACCCACGACTTTACCCACGACACACGACTTTTAACCCACGACACACGACACACGACATATAGGGACACTCGTTTTTGACACTAATCCGGAAATTGAACTTGTTGCTTTGTATGAGGACTGAGGCGCCCAGGTGCTGTTATATCCTTCGATCTTATTAGTATAAACTTTACAATCCTGGGGCCGGTTGCTCGAAAGTCGGATAACTTTACCACTGGATAGTGATTTTTCAACCGTTGTAAAAATGCTCGAAAATATATAGGCCATAGGGTCCTGTCAATTGATAAAAAGAAAGTTCAACTTAAAAATATCGAAGTTTAATCTGAATCAGACCAGTCAACAGGTTGTTTTAGGAAGCCTGAAAGAAAAATACCGGATAGCGCTATCCAACTTTCGAACAACCGACCCCTTGTGTCAAAACGTTCAGGCTAACCACGCAGTAATATTGTTAGTTTATAATCAGTGCAGCAAAATATTCATCCACTCCCAGCGATTGAAGCCAGGTGTGAAAAGATGACAAACTAGTAGCGAAAGGCTACTTGCAATAAAATATACTAACACACAAGGCTACTTTTCATGTGTTGCATTGCAAAGCACAGCGATGAAACACCTAATTCACAGTATATTTTTCTCGATTGAGCACCTTCGAATGAGCGCCGCACTCCGTTATCTACAATTTCGGCGTTTATTCAAGGTGCTGTTCAAAAAGCTAATATAATGAGAGCAGAGCCCATTTTCATCTTAAATGAGCCATAGTTCGCAATATGGCACACCAATACAAGCAAGGAATTGCTTGAAAAAAAAATAAATGAGAAATTTTCTAAGAAATAGGGAAATAGCGTAGGCAGCTTTCATCGTTACATCATAGCCTATATATATATATATCATCATATATATATTCTGTACAATTATATTCCGCTCTTAAATAATAATTAATACATATTTTTCTGTCGGGAATTGTTCATAGATAGCTTGTTATTGGAATGTTGATTATAGTATTTTTAAATAAATTCTTCCAAATGTTCAATAGTTCTAAAAGCGCGTCACTCATTTACAGTACATATTTTGTATAATTCGCGTAAAACATGCCTGATGCTCATTGTAAAATTTTCAGGAGACCAACAAAAAGCATTGGTAAAAAATTGAAAAAAATCGAGTCCGCGAGTCCGCCAGTCCGAGTCAGCATTTTATCCACACCCATAGGGTTAAGCTAAATTAGCTAATTCAGCTTTCAACAACTGGCCCCTGGTGAAAGATTGATTGTATAGTCTTAAATGTATCTATATGTGTGAACTATAATTATATATTTACTAATAAATACATTTAATATTCTGATAGTATTTCTTCATATTAAATTATTATGGCTTCAAGTGAACATGACAGAAGTACAGTTTCCACAACTTTATGTTGCTGAAGTAAGAGGAAATAGCTTTAATTTTATGGTAGAAATAAATCTCACTTGGTGGTAGCTATGTGACATATCTGCTTGGTAGATAATATACAGACAATTTTATCTGTAGTGATATACTGTCACATAGCTGTGACGGATATTTATTGGGCCAAATTCCTATATGTTGCAGATATGTGACAGATATCTGTCACATAACTGTGACAGATATGTTATGGGGCCAAATTCCTGTATATCGCAGATATGTGACAGATACTTTCTTACAATCATATACTTTGCAGATATTTGACAGAACTGTGACATATATCTGCCACATATCTGTCAGTTTGGTAAGGGTATGCACCCAGCCTAGTCCCAGTCGTTCTGAAGCAAGCGCGAGAAAAAAGTGGATGTAGTACGAGACTGGGACCTAGGTGTGACGTCACCGCTCAAGGTGCTTCAGAACGCCTAGCAGATTTCAGTACTTTTAATATGGCGGAAAATTTATATATACATGTAACCTTTTAATTATAAATACGACAATGTTCGTTCATCATGTACATGTTCGATGTCTACATAACCAAATCAAACTGTATTAAAAATGTGCTCAACTAAAAAAAATTATATACAAATTTACGATACCGAGTTTGAGCAATAGTTGATGTTATTTATGTACTCGCAAGTTGTGATCAACACTAGACCGTACTGGTATACACAACTACGCTTTCTACTTGACAGGTTTAAATTGGTTTAAATCAGAATGCAATAACGGGCTAAATATGACTCGTGCTTACTAAAATATATAGCCATATTCAATGCTATCTAGAAGCTTGAAAATTATCCCGAGTCTCCGACTAATAATGTTTTGACAACACCGTCATGTCAGGCAAATATTTCCAATCTCCTCAGCAATTTAAACCTGTCAAGTAGAAAGCGTAGTTGTGTATACCAGTACGGTCTAGTGTTGATCACAACTTGCGAGTACATAAATAACATCAACTATTGCTCAAACTCGGTATCGTAAATTTGTATATAATTTTTTTTAGTTGAGCACATTTTTAATACAGTTTGATTTGGTTATGTAGACATCGAACATGTACATGGTGAAGTTGGTGAACGAACATTGTCGTATTTATAATTAAAAGGTTACATGTATATATAAATTTTCCGCCATATTAAAAGTACTGAAATCTGCTAGGCGTTCTGAAGCACCTTGAGCGGTGGCGTCACACCTAGGTCCCAGTCTCGCACTATATCCACTTTTTTCTCGTGCTTACTTCAAAACGACTGGGACTAGGCTGGGTCTATAGCAAAGTAGAAAAAACCATAGTTAATATGAAAAAACACAACTATAAAATAACACCATGCAGAAATTGTCTTTGACATAAACAGTGAAATATTTGGCACTGTACTTACAGCTATTTGCGTTCAAGCACAAACCGCAAATATTTTCGCGCGTTTTTTTACGTTTGAAACGATCCGTTTACCGTCGGAAACGGAAATGTATTCACCGTTCATGTGACGTGTCACAGTGGAAAGCCTTCTGACAGTTCTGTTATTTTGGCGCAACTGCATGTCATGTTTTAAAGTGCCTTCGTGCACGTTTCAGTATTTCCAAGCTTATAATATATTGTAAGAGCGAACGTATTATCATGTGCTTGGAAATATTGAAACATGCACGAAGGTACATAAAATCTCAATCGATCATTTTATCAACGCAAAGCTTTCTTGCCTCCTCTGCTTCTATTGAGATCAGGGCAAGCGCATCTAATCTGTGACATCTGTCTTGTGCAATAGGTGGCCTAAGATAAGTCTTAACTTATTTTCAACTACTTAACGACTGTGCTGTAGCAACTGTTACATGTGGCAAAGCAAAACAATTGCTGATACTAACTTTGAATACGATGTGATTAACTCACCTATTTGAAGGTGTTTGAAAATGTGGATTCCACCCTTTAATTTTTTTAAATTATTATAAGTCATCCCGAGCAATTCTTCCTTGGAACAGAATTTATATGACAAAACGTCTTGAGTTAAGTCATTAGCATAGTGCTATATGGAGTTTCAAACTTGGAACACAAGTCAAACTTGTAAGTAGAAATCAGATCATTGGCAGCACAACAGACTTCACTAGCGGTCATCTTCAATATGCTCTTTGGTGCCAAAAAATTGAATGTCTTGGCAACAAAAGTCTGGCCTTTGAACCGTTCTTCTAGTTGCGATGTAGCCGTGTCAATGAATGTAAAGAATACTTCGACACAGAATTTCTTCTCTGGGTCAGGGATGGGTTCATCCCTTGCTTCCTCGTCAAAAAATCTACGAACTTTTATCGTTCTCGTTTCAATAAAAAAGGATACAGGAATGGCAACTTTAAGAGCTAACATTGTAGATTCTCTTAGAATTTCATTCCATTCGCCTCTCATTTCTCTAACATTATTCAACGCCCCCCAATTCACTTTTAATTCCTAGATCCATGTCCACTACATAAAAATCTCTATAGCTGTATAGCTGTATAGTTCTGACAAGATCGGTTGTTTGTCAGTTCTGTTTCTCGGAACTCGTCGTGTACTTCTTGACTGCCATTGGCTCCGAAGATATTAATTCCATAGTACATATGTACTTTGCCTTTTTCCGCTTCAACTTCTGGAGTCACTTTATATACCAACTGTGCTAATGCAGTTGATTCAGAAAATCTTTTTATGCTAGGTTCTTAATAGTTGTACGAAACAGAAATTAGATGAACAAAGCTCCCGGACAACTCAGCCATTGATATCGGCAACTCGATCGGTAAAACAAACCTGTGAGCAAACTTAGCCCGCCCCCCCCCTTATGTAAAAATTTTGTTATCTCCCAAAATCAGTGAGACACGTAACCAGCATGGACCAGGGTCTTTCCTTCAGCGAGGCGCGTAGTGGAAAGAGCCTGGGTACGAGGTTGCATGTCCTATACGTCGTTCAGCATGTACAGCAGGTAGCTCCTCTTCAGCTGGCAGGAGATCGTTCGGTTCATCAACTAATCATTTCGACTTGTTATAAAATTGTACAAGACTGCTGTTGCGACAAAGATAATTAACGTCGTTTCTGGTTTCGTTCGTGTACACGTTGATATAAACATGGAAAAATCTCTCGCATACGCCAAATATCCTTTCGTTAGTATTTCTTGCACGTATTTGAGCTATATTGTATCTGCGCGCGTTGTGCGGATGCGCCAGTGGTGCCATGGGATATTGCCGGCATGGATAACCGCTATCAGCTAGCACATGCCTTCGTTGTTACCTCATTCAAACTAGGCACCTAGACGAATGTATAAAAATTTGGTGCGTCATGGACACTACCTGGCCATCTGGCAACAATCGGTTTTGAATTTTAAATTTGGTCCGCAAACAGCTTGAAGTTTATATTGTTCAGCATCCACTCCCCCTGGGCATGATATTTTTATATGCGTGCAATCAGTAAGGCCTAGAACGCTTGAAAATGGACATATTCTCCAAAAATCTAGTTTGGTTTGTGGTAGCATATGAGCAGGAGGGTAAACAATGTACTCACTATTTAAACGTAGAATTTCCTCAGACATTTTACCTGCTGATGGCTGCGAAATTTCACACTAGTACCCGCATGCTAATTGGAATGTACCTGTCGCATACAATGCAAAAAAATCAAAATCTAGGCTAGAATAATATTTTTACTTTTCAGATTGTTTTACTTAATTTCTTGCCAAGAAAAATTACAAGATAAAATTTGTAGTTTAATTTAAGAAAATGTTTCGTGAAATTGGAAAATTAATCTAGGCAAGATAATCCTGAAACTATATTTTTCTTGTTTCAAGAATTATATTCTTCGGCAGTGCAATAACCTGACGTCATTACTTATGTGACGTCACTTGTATATAGCTAGTCGTCACTTGTGTTTAGCATTTCATGGATATTAAATTTAGTATTGTGATAACCACTAAGAGCGTGCCTTGTATTATCATACTATAAAATTACTACATTGGCGACGAGGATCAAAATATCTCCACATGCGCTATGGCCTCATCTTTACCACCATTTCCTCCTGACCTCCTTTCAATGTTGACGACCCCACCGCGACAGATCAACGCTCGACCAAATGCAAAAACGTTTTGAAAATTTTCTTCTTGCCATGGATATCGATGATGAGACACGCAAACGCGCACTTCTTTCGCATTATATTGGCTCGTCAGCATTTGGTACATTCGAAACCTTAACGGATACCGGTGACGAGAAAGACTACAAGAAAGCAATGGACCGCCTAACCGAGCATTTTACGCCGCAACGCAACGGTGATTATGAAACTTACCTCTTTCGTCAAGCTCGTCAATAACCAACTGAGACGCTCGATCAATTTACCACTTGTCTGCGCCAATTGGCCTCAACTTGCGAATTTACTTCTGTTGAGAAAGAAATCAAATCGCTGATAATCTTCAACTGCTCCCCACGCACGCGCACTTCGTGACTTATCCTTAACCCTTAAAGCACCATGGAAATATCTGAAAAACAAGCCTCTGGCATTGAATCTAAATCCATTTCTCATTATACTATAAAAATACTACAGACGGAAAACATTTATGTTCTTGTAATAAGAACTGATGAACTAAATGCCTAAATTTTAGACAAATTATGAAAGCAAGTAAATTTCATCGGATCTGAGTTTTTTCTATAGTACGTACCCGGCTTTTGACTAGTTTCGACTGGTCAGCCAGACTTTGAATCTTGTTCCCGAACGAGTCACGCAAGTTCCTAATCGATTACGACTTACGTGGTACTCGAATATAATGGAGTGCAAGAGCAGGGCCGCCGAAAGGTTAGCGGGGGCCCGGCACAAATATTTTTAGGTGCCCCTATTTCAGGGTAAAAATTATTTAGGGCAAAAAATTTTCCGGACGAGTAGGTTTTAATTCCTTTCCAGGGATTTTACCTCAATTTTTCATACCAAATTTCGATACTTTGCCCAAAAAACCCAATATCTTCCCCTTTGCGCGGAAATATTTCACCCATAAAACTGACTGGGGCCCAACAAAAAAATTCTAGTAGAATCCTGTCGTTTGTTGAATAGGATTAAAATCAAGATTTGCTATTTTTTGCCAAAGTTTGATCATTCACAAAATGCATTTACAATACAAAACAAATAAGAGTTGAAAACCTATTATACAAAACAATACCGATTTGCCTGCGGAGGAGGCTAGATAGAATGTAGAGTCTGCGTCGAAATTACATACACATGAATATGAATTTTCGTTGTCTAACCAATCTGGATCGTTTACATGTTTGAGAGATCAGTGGTTAATTAATCGTGCCATGTTTGGGTTCCCAGAAGGCTAAGCGCGTGGTTCGCGTTTAACTTGAAAGTCAGAAAGTGATGCATTGATGCAAAAATGCGAATATTAGAAATCATTCAAATTTTGCACTAAAAAATGGACAAATATAGAAATAAATATTCCAGTATTTGATGGCGCACACAATATTTTGAAAAGTAAGTGTTAAACTACGTAAATATTTTGAATTTGGCACTATTAGCGATTGGCCTTGAGTTGTGCTTCTTATTGGCATTATAAATACTATATTCCTTTAAAATGTACATTGATTTCATATATTATTCCTTTATAATGCATAATTTACAAATGTTTTTGTTTCCAGGTTCTGGTTATCTTTTGAAGGGACAAATGGTGTGGTATTAAATATGTGATGGAAGTGCCACAAGGTATGAAATATTATATGGTTTCAGGTTTGAAATGTTCGATAAATTAAAATAGAATATTGTTGTTGCCTGATTTATAGCAAGAAGCATGAATACAGAGTTACTTTAATTTTTGTATCTGTATTATTAATAAAATGGCTAAAAGGCATTCTGCGTATAGTGTAGCATAAAATGTCAGTGCAGCCAGGCAGGGGCGTAGTGCCCTTTAAAAAGTGCCAGGTGCCCTTTTTCTGGTGGCAAAGTGTCCTTTGCCTTCATGAAAAATGTTGTTCAGATTGCATTTTATGCCTCAATGGCCTTTGATTTATGATTGCGGTTTTTTTTCGCTTCCCAAACAAACCCCCTCCTCCCCCCTGTCACCAACATTTAAAAAAAAAACCGGTGTCCTTTTCATTACAAAAGTGCCCCTTGAAACAGGTGCCCCCCCCAACTTTTTCATGCTTCCTACGCCCCTACAGCCAGGGGTCAAAATAACGGCTAGTCAACGGACAATAAACGGCCAAAAAATGCCTCTTGGAATCTGGGCTGGTCACATTTTTACTTCATCTGCCATTTTGGCCGGCCACATCTTCACGTGATTGCTGATGTCTTGAATAAAAACATGAAACTATGATTATCGAAACAACTTTATAATTTATAGTTTGTTTCACTGTTAGTGGAAGCATATCAGTGACTTGTCAAAAACAGATTTTAGGAGACCTATCTCCCGTTATGTTCAGCCCTGATTGCAGCCAAAAACCAAATCTAGCAACACTGACCAATACATCCTTCGGGATAGTATGACGCATTGAACATACCTGTATAGCCTCATCTTCGTAATTGAGATGTGGACTTTATCTGATTCAAGTACACAAAAAAGAAGCTTTATATAGCCAAAGTGGCATCCTTTCTGGAAGGGTGTAAATTATATTAGTCAGATTGGGTGGGTTACATGGTACTGAACCAGCCTAGGTGTCACAGCTACCTCACTTTATGTGTGTGACATTTGTGTCCGAGACTAGAGCTACATGTACCCTGCCCTTGGGCTTGATTGCACTGCTGGCCTGATTTGGTCACACTTTGTAGGGACTTTGAATGCAAATTTTCCCCAAGTAATGGGGAAGATATGGGGGCTATGTCTTGCCATTGGGAGAAATAAAGTGATTTTAACAAGTGATAAGGAAAGGGGGTTAATTACTGTCTTCCTGTTAGTAGTGTTTAGTAATGCTTAGAATTACATTTTTGGAAACTGTAGTTAGCTCCGCTGATTACCTTGCAAGCATGTCATGTGAATATTACTACTAGGAACATGGGGGTGAGTACTTATGTATCCTGGGGGGTGAAGTGGAAACAAATCAAACAATACATTAACGAAGGCCTCGCTATTCCCCCTCAGTGGGGAAAGATAATTCCATTGGTGCTCACACGAAACTGTCACGATGCTATTGGGTGATATTATGATCATGACGTAAACACATACACATACACATATTTATTTCCAGTTACAGATATATTTATATGAATTTTCACTAGCCGCAAGTAGCCAAGCTAATCGGGGCGGGTAGTGATATAATGTAATTATGAGAGGGGGATAATTATAGAAATGACTGAATTACAAGATAAAGAACTTAATAAGTTAAATAATTGCAGGTTTACAAAGTTACAAGCAGAACTGCATGCTGAAGCCAATATATTTGCTTATGTAAAGTTAATAAATTGGTAATTTATTGAAATCTCGCTAAAGTGCTAAATATAGGAATGAATTTGAGCACATAATTATATAATTAACCACAAAAATTGAGATTATACAATCAATTGTAGGATGGTTTGGTTTCAATAGGCAATCTGTTTATTATCAAGGGCAGATCAATATGGTCATTTTCCTTCTGTAGAATTGTCATAAGTGTTTTGTTTAATTTGGTTTTGAAGGTATGTTTCCTTTGCGCACGGAAACTTGGAGAAATACTATTCCAGATAAAAGAACCAAATCGCGAAAATGAGCGTTTTTGGATTTCTAATTGTGAAGAATTGATGTAAAAATTCTTGTTCGCAGCTGCTCTCGTATTATATCTATGAATCTCGCATGTTTTGGTAAATAATTCTTGAAGAGCAATTGGTGCAACTTCATTAGAAATATCATGTAACAAGTTAGCGGATTCTCTAATGTATAGCATGTTGATAGGGAGGGTGTTTCAAGAGATAAATAGAGGGATAGAGTGTTCACGATTGTCTTTAAAGTAGATAAGTCTCAGCACACGTTTCTGGAATTTGAGAAGTTTGTCCGTATATTTTTTGGCTGCATATCCCCATGCAACAACATGACGAAAACATTAATTTGATTAACAGGCATGGCGAGCGAGGCGTACGAAAAAATAACACAAGCCAGACGTTTTTATATTCATTTGTAAACAAATAACTGCTTCTCTTGATTTCTTGTTCACCAGAAACTATATCGTAATAAATTAACACTGACATTACTTGGTGTCAAGAGTGTTCTGAGGTTCAGCCTCAAGCAGGATCCCAAGCGCCACAAATGGCCCAGACACCACAAATATTTATAGCACCATCGAATTTGCCACCGCCAAAGTCGCTTATATTTGACGATAACTTGGCAACTATGTGGGAGTCCTGGAAGAAATCATGGACACGGTACGAGATTGCAACCAGTGTACAAAAAGGCATTGTCATAGTATCAACCTTGTTAAGGGGTGGACCATTTGACTTTTGAGTGGGGGGAGGGGTTGGAAGATTCAGACCGTGCAAGAATTTTTTTCTGCCCAGGGGAATAGGACAGATATTTTTTCAGTCTAAAAGTGCAGCACAAGATTTTTTCCCAGTATATTTTGCAGCAGCGTATTTTTTTGCCTCTCATAATAACGGCTTACAGTAACTTAAGGCTTTCATACCGCTCTCGTCAGAGACGTAGCCAGGGTTTTCAGTCAGAGGAGGCAGAGAAAATCTCAAGAGGGGCCAAGGAATTTTCACTGTGCTTTATTTTATACGGTTATGTCTTAATCTTTCCCACACTTAAGCATGCAGGTTTACTCAGTGACACGAAAAATGTATAACTGCACCAAGACCTAAAACGTGCAGGGATAGAGTAGAGTACTCGGAAAGGGGGGGGGGAGGGTACAGTATATGAATCAGCCATAACCTTGGGGATTTGGAGGCATGCTTCCCCTGGAAAATTTAAAAATTTGAACCTCGGAAATGCTATTTCCTGCGTTTTTAGCCATGGATTTGTGCAACAACTTTGCTGTACTAAGCCTAAGGAACACTTACTGTCCCCTATTTTAAACAAGGAAAAATCACAAAATGAGCTTTGATTGATGCGTAATAAACAAGATTTCAATAACGCGATTTTTGAATGCCCTCCGAAACAGCACTGTTTCCCCAAAGATAGATCTGTAGCATTTCGATCGTTCATACAGGTAGTCTGTTGGGGATCGGGTTGCATCCTCTTCAGAAATGTTTTAAAATGTAAACTGGCATGTTCGCATTAAAATCATTGTAAAAACAGCACGTACAACTGCTATCCTGTAGATGGGCCCTTGGAACTTTAATAGTTTGGAGCTATGTTATCAAAAAATGCACACAGACTCATCCAAAAATACTTTTTCTACCATGCATATTACTGTAGATATGTATAAATAATATCGTAAAGCCACATTTTATCAGGGGGGGGGGCAACAATTTTGCAAGGAAACGCCACTGGCAATGGTAGGTTAAAAGCTCCAAAGTTGTCCACTGTTCACCCAATGTGTTCTTTTAAGCAAATGTACCTGCTCAAAAATGCAAAATCTTGCAAGCCTGTGGACACAATACTGAAGAGCATCACTAGATTTACATGTAGGAATTTTAAGCGCACTCTTTTGCATGATATTTTTTTCTCGATTGTGTATGCTGCATGTTTTTCTTTCTCCTTGGGTTACCAAATTTTTTTTTCAAACTTCCACCCCCTCAAAAGTCAAATGGTCCGCCTCTAAGCGTAATCGGCGAGGACGGTGTTAAGGCATATGACACTTTTGCCTTGGGGCGAGGATGAGAATTAAAATGATGTTGATATTGTTTATGAATATTGTTCACCGAGAACTCAAATTATCTATGAACGATACCATTTCAATAATAAAAAACAGGCACCTGGAGAAAATATCACCACCTACCTAACAGAACTGAGAACTATTGCAGGAAATTATGCACATGACTCGATTACACCAGTGTGACGAAATTTTACGGGATCGGTTTGTTTTAGGCATTCGTGATGACCACGTCCGAGAACATTCATTGTCGCTAAACGATTTCACGTTGCAGAAAGTGGTCGACACTATCAAAGGCGTGGAACAAACACAACAACAAGTCAAACACGCTAAGGAGAACACAACAAATTTTGTAAACACGCTAAGGAGAACACAACAGGAAGACGTCGGGATTGAAAGTAAAAATCTCGAAAGACAAAATCGCTTAGATATTTAATGCGAAACCACCAGCAGAAAGGATTGTTTACAGAATATGGAAATTGTGGTATGACTATATAGTGTTTTAATTAGTGTGAAAAGATGAATTATTTCGCGCGGAAATGGCGAAGAAAAATAGCAAAGCGTCACAAGTCAACCAAACTACGGAAGTCGAAAAACACTGAGTCTGGAAGAAATCTTTACTGCATCAGCTCTATTTCTGACGTCGACGAGCCCAAAGCACGCAAACTTGTGATCAATTTGCAACTGTTGAAGCCAGGGGCGGAGAACACGGTTCAATTGTGGGTCGCAATGTGACCTTCAAGTTCATACATACAAGTTACTGATGACAAACAACTGCAAGGCCTAAAGACCTGCGAAAAGGAGATCGTTTCGAACACGGGAGAACACCGTAAAATCACCGGAAGAGCCAAATTCCCTGCGTGGTTCAGAGATCAGCAAAGAACATTATTAATCACGGAGATTATCAACCAGTGTTATCATTATATACAAGTATCGCTCTTGTCGTTGTCAATTTGAGCAACTGTGACATTCTGGCACTGACAATAAAGCTTCCAGAATACAATTCGTACGTGTATGTTGCAGAAGAGTATGCCGACGTTTTTGATGGCATACTCTGAATCGCATTTTGAATCGCATTACGATTACGATCTCAAATCAAAGCGAAACTAGATAAGTTTAAATAGTCGATCTGGAAGTTATCGTCCCTGTCACAGAACCCACTCATTCGGTATCCAGCATGTTGGCAGTCGTCAAGCCGAACAAGATCCATATATGCATCATCGACCCGCGATGCCTAAATCGTGTTATACGACGCGAACATTACCAACTACCCATTGAAAGATTAAGATTAACGGCTGCGAAGAAATTCGCACTCTGAGATGCTAAGGACGGATTTTACCAAATCAAACTTGACACGGTTAAAGTTATTTGACAACCTTCAACTTCAGACAGTACCGCTGGACTCGCATGCCGTTCGGAATGTCGAGTGAACCCGACGTTTGGCAAAGGCGAATGCATGCGTTTGCTCCAGGTCTCAATGGAGTTGAAGTCATAGCAGATGACTTCCTTATCGCGGGATTTGGAGAAACAGGAGAGGAGATCGATCGAAACTTGGAAACGAAGGAACGGGTATTTTTCAAGAAATGTCGTGAGTGGAATCTCAAGCTAAATAAATCGAAGTTGAGCCGATCACAGACAGAAGTGCGTTTCATGGGACACCTCAATTACCACTGATTGCCTCAAAGCTGATCCAGCAAAAGTCGAAGCGATTTTAGACATGTCTATCCCAAGTGACACAAAAGGCCTCAAAAAATTTATCGGAATGGTAAACTATTTGGCAAATTTTTTACCTTTATTGTTGGACATGACCGAACCGCTGAGAAGGCTCGAAGATAAGGATGTAGAGTGGTGTTGGCTCGAATAACACAAGCAAGCGTATGACACTGTCAAGAAGTCTCTAGCCAAAGCGCCGGTCCTGAGATACTACGATGTCAACATGGAAGTTACTATTGAATGTGGTGCTAGTGACACTGGCCTACTGTAGGCGCTGTCTTAACGCAAGACGGGCCTATAGGACAACCCGTTGTTTTCGCTTCGAGGCCACTCACACATACAGAAACTCGTTACGCCCAGATTGAATAAGAATTACTAGCGATTGTCTGGGCAACAAGCAATTTCGATCAGTATATTCTCGGTCGAGAAACCGTTACCATAGAATACGATTATGATGAACCGCTTAAGGCAGTTTGCATCAAACCCATACACAGCTCGCCTAGACAGTTGTAGAGAATGTTGTTGGCCGTCCAAAATAACAATCTCAACGTGCAGTACAAGAAAGGCAAACTCATGTGGATATCTGACACCCTGAGTCGTGCAATTCGAAACACAATAGAATATTGGCGTACGAGCCCTGAAAGAGATCGACCATACAGAGCTCTGAAAGACTGAGATACGAGCCCTGAATGGAATCCAGGATACAGTGATAACGGACAACCGACCTCAGTTTTCTGCCACAGAATTTTCAAGAGATTGGCAGTTTATGCATCTACCTTCCAGCCCTCGTTAATACCCACAATCTAATGGCCGAGCAGAGACAAAAGCCAAAATTCTGGTCAAAACCCATCGTTAGCACTTTTAGACTGGAAAAACACCCCCATAGAAGGTCTGGGATCATTACCTGCCTAAAGGTTGATGCGGCGACGTACGCAAATTCTGTTGCCGACTCACAAAAATGTCCTTAAACAACCAATCAACGAAGGCAATAGGGATAAATCACTGAACTATAAGTAAACTGAAAGGCTAACTCAGGGGGGGGGGGGGGG